TTTTTAATATCTTAAAATTAAATTAATTTCATCCACCCAAACCCTAATTATGTTTCACTCTTCCTTCTCTCTCTCTTCTTTTCTCCCACTTCTCTCTCTTATTCATCTTACTCTCTCAATAAATCTCCATATTCATGGCGGGTGAAGACAACAGTAAGAAATTGATGTCATTAATAATGGAGTCGAAGCCTCTGCACTCGCTCCACCAAATAGAAGAGACCTCATCTTACAAGCTCCTCCTCAAGCAATGGCTGAAAGAAGAAGAGCTAATCCTCAACAGAATCTCCATCAAAGCGATCCAAATCGACTCGGCCCCGAACGAGATCACGTAACTCTACTGTTTCTTCTTCATCTTCCACTCCATTGCCCTAATCCTCCTCTTCAGCGCATCTTCTTAGGCCCCAAATGGAAAAGGCCACTTCTCTAAAAAATCCTGGATCCCATCACTCTGTTCTCTAGTTTGTTCACTGGGTATAATCTGGGCTATTTGGTATAAAACCGATGTCGAATCCCACTTGGAGAAGCTACTGGAAAGAGAAAAAGAGGATGGACAATTGTTAGCTAAGTGTGTGGAAGAGTTGAAGAAAAAAGGTGTGGAATTCGATTTGCTAAAAGAGGTTGATACTCTTAGGAGAGCCAAGAGTTTGCGGGTCAAGTCGAAGGCAGTCCGAAGATGGTCAAGTAGGGATTTTGTGCCTGTTTTTCTTCACTGTTTCTTGCTTTGTTCTTGGATTCACAAGGGTTATTTTGTATAGTTAATTTGGAATTTGGAAAATCTGAGAAAATCCCTACTATTGTAGTGAGGTTTGGGCAGTGTTTTGTGTGGTGGGTGGTGGATCTGGCGGTTGGGTGGATTTAATGAATTTTGGCGATAGAAGTGGTGGTTTTGTAGTTGAAAATGGTGGTTTGTTGGTGGTGGTGGTGAATCAGTGGCGGTTTGTTTGAGATGGAGATGCCCGTCACTAGTTGTCGTGGGGTGGTGGGGTTTCTGGCGACGTTGGTGTTGGCGCAATGGTGGTGGTTCTGGCTACACCGACGGTGCACTGGATATTTGGTTGATGTTTTTGTGTGGTGGTGGCTGTGGTGGTGTGTGGTGTTGTTTTGGTGATGGTGGTGGTGGTGACTAGTGGTATGTGTGGTGGCGCGGCGCGGCAATGGTGGTGTTGCAAAAATGATGACGACAGTAGCGGTGGTACTGGTGATGGTGATGGAAGTGGTGATTGTGATAATTTTGTTGGCAGTAGCGTTGTGGGGGATTTGGCTGACCTGTGACCAAGTATTCGTGGTGAATCGAGATCGGGGGTGGGGTGTTTGGTGCATGTGACCAACTATTTGGTTTACTGTGACTAACTATTAAAATGTGACCTTAAAATTCAAAAATTTGTGACTAAAAAAATAATTTGTGACCAATAAATAAATTGTGACCTATAATTTTTTTGATATGTGACCAATGAAATAAGTTGTGACGTATAAATTTTTTGATTTGTAACATTGAAATAATCTGTAACCAATTAATTTGATAATACGTGACCCGTAAATAAATTGTAACTCATAAGTATGTATTTATGACTATGAATTGTATAATTTTGATTTTAATATATATTTAATTAATTAAATACCTGATTTTTGCATTTTTAAAACTTAATACCTGATTTTTGCAATTGTAGAAGTCAATATCTGATTTGTGAACTCTTGCCCTTCACTATTCTTAATTTCACGGGGTACCTTTCTTTTTGACACAGAAACGGACACCGTGCGGTATTAGACTACTCCGCTAGATTACATTTCGTATTCTCTCGGTCATTTAGAGACGAAAGAAAATTTGATTACAATTTATAGAAAGCTGGCAAAATGAAATTGAAATGTATTGAATGTAAATTGATGATTGATTGCTTGAAAATTAAAATTACAATTGATGAAAGCAGGAAATTACAATGGCTACTGCAGGGGGCGAACACTAGAAAGCTTAAAAGATTGTTTGAATTACTAACACCCCCTATAATAGCATTCTGAACAAAAACATAAGTGATAGGAGTAGAAGTTTAAATTCTGAGGAATCATGCTAAACTTTTCCAACATCACATCTATTAAGCAATTGAAATAAAATGTTTACAATGTGCGGGTCAAGGGGTTAGTTGAAGTTGCGGTCCTTAACATTTTCCCCCATTTATTTTGGCGACATCCTTGGTGCCCTCAATGATATGTTTTCAATAAATGGTTTGAAGGTTCCAAGGTCTTTTTCATTTTCCTAAGTATTCTCTTCACTACTGCATCCGTTCCATTTAACCAAATACTCTTGATGATATTTCCTGGAGGCTCGAGTAGTAAAATGGTCAAGAATCTCTTCATCAACCTTCTTTCCAGCTCTTTTCAGTTCAAACCCAGGTCGTTTTGGTTCATTTCTGGATGCATACTCCTTGTCGGCAAAGTATGGCATGAGTACGACATAATGAAGGANATATTTTCTAGAAGCCCGGGTAGTTCGGTGGTCAAGAATCTCTTCAGCGACCGTCTTTCCAGCTCTTTTCAGTTCAAACACAGGTCACTTCGGCTCATTTCTGGATTGCATCCTCTGTATGCGACTCTGTCAATCCTCTTCACAATGGGTAATGGTCCAATATATGTTGGCACCAATGTTGAATCTTTCCCTCTTGTTGGTTTATATACGCTTATGTCGGGGAGTTTAACCATTACCAGATCTCCAACATTGAATTCAAGGAAATGACACTTTTGATTTGCATACTTCTTGTACCGTTTTTGAGCTTTCTGAAGATAACTCTAAGCAATTTCAATGTTTTGTTTTCCACTCTTGAGAGAAGCTTTTTGCTTGAAGAGACTTGGTACTTCGATTGATATCCACAACATGAGGGAGTAACGGTTGCTGGCCAAT